GGTGTACTTATACCTGATTTGACCCCATCTGACACCCTGTATTCTTGTCAAACCAGAATCGAGAATTGCTTCAAGGTCCATATTTTTTGGAGAACAGTGTGTTTTTTGATGATACTTGCGATACTACAAACTTTCACAAATTTGGAGAAAAATTCGTTAGAAAATACGAAGTCTGAATTTTGACAAGAAAACATTGCCTGAGCATCCTTCAGGAATTATTGAATGACGTCAAGGGCGATCCAGAGTATTATCTTGAAGTTATGCGACGCTTGCAGGAAGCAATACGAAGAATATTGTGGAAAAAAATTTGTGGCTTTTGCATCACGTTAATAAACCTGCTCAATCGTTATTGCTTGTTCGTAATTTTTTGGCCAATAACAACATCGTGATCATGCCTCAGCCACCGTATTCATTAGATTTGCCCCCCTGCGACTTTTTTCTATTACCAATATTGAAGAAACCCATGAAAGAATATACCAAAAAGTGCATATCAAAACTGCTTCGAGTATTGGGAAAACCGCTGTGTATTATATCTGAGGGAGACTATTCTGAAGGGGACAAAATGGAAATTGAATAAATAAATATTTTTTGTGAAAAATGAAAATTCACGCAGTAAATCGCTGGAAGTCAAAAAGGGTCAATTTTGTTTTTCACCGATAGGGTTGTTACAAAAAACCTATGCAAACATTTAAATTCATATGTGGAAAGGACATAGTGACGCCATCTTCCACAGAAAAGGTTTACTTATTACTCATTCAAATGAACATGAACAAAACTGTTAATGTGTGTGAGCTTTGTCTCCGTGTTACGAGGTGGAGAGACATATATGTACGTGTGGCAGATACCCGGCAGAGAAACAACTAACCCAGCTGATGCCGCGTAAAAAGCTGAAGAAAAACCATCAGGCACCTTTGCAATGTTTTCCATTTGAAAAATTCGTCGCAAGTAACTTCCCATATATGAAAAGTAGAAATAATTTTCATTTGGTGGAGACGACCACCGAAAGACCGGTTTCGGAATTCTTGCTCCTCGTCAGAGTCTGAGTATACAGTGTGTAAATGCCAAATGGAATAAATTCATCATTTCGGTTACTGTATATATTTAAAAAAATCCCGAAACACGTCAAATGTGAATTATAATTTGACATTCTTCAACGTAAAAATGTCACCCCTACTTTCAACCCGCTTCCAATGACAGGCACAACCCCCAATTTTTTGAATTTTAAGTATAGGCTTGTGATATATCGTTTGAAAGGTCTCTTCATTCTCTATTAAAAAATGTTATCGCTTTCAAGTTTATTGCAACAATTGATATAAAATAAATTAAAATCCTGTGATTACCGAAATTCGATAAAATACACACAAAAACTAAAATGTAATGCAAAACGTAAATGAAATGTAGAATACGAAAAAGAACTATGGATGTTAACGAAGTAGATGTTCAAAATGTTCACCGCGAACGTCTTGGCAACATCCTAATCTCAAATAAAACTGTCTTCTAACATTATTTAATATATCAGGCGTGACCGACCTAATCGCAAGCGTTATTCGTTCTTTTGAATCATTCAAATCTGAAGGTTTAGTTTTGTACACATTGCTCTTTACATATCTCTAGAAAAAGAAATCTAATGATGAAAGATCAGGTGATCGCGCTGGCCATTCAATCGATTCTCGCCTCCCTATCCAACTGGAACAGGAAGTGGAGGATTTCCTGCATCAGGATATAAATTTGATAAACTTGGAATGACAATCATTTTGAAGTAGTTCCAAATAATTATCGCCATTCAAGTTGCCCTCAATGAAAAAGGGACCAGTGATATGGTTTTCTACAATCCCTGCCCATACATTAACCTTTTGAGGGTATTGCATGTGTTCTCTCATCCAGTGAGACAAAGTACACTTATCAGAAAACATAACGTCTTCTAATTGGAAGATACTGTTATCCAACATGTCCATTTTTTGCTCACAAACATAGTGGATGCCTGTCTATTCGATGTAGTTCATCACTCATTGCATTGACAGCTGCTTTTTTCATCTGCCCCACATGACCAAGCTCGCAAAACTGCTTCTATATTTTGCTTACTGTTCCTTGAGATATGAGCGGTAAATTAGGAAATTTCTCATGAAATAAGCGAGTTAATTCCTGTTGTGTTCGGGTTTCAACTCCGTAATCAATCATTTGTAAAACTGTTATTTTATGCATTTACGTTAATCTAACCATTTGTCAGACTTGAAGTTAACGAACTTTAAACTTGACAATTGATGTTGTAACATACAAAACAAGTTGACAAGGTGTTTCAAACTAACGTTGCCACTGACATTATTAGTAGTTAACGAACTTCAAACTTAAATTAAAATACTGACAACTAATATTGTATGATTCAAAACAAGTTGACAAGGCGTTTTAAACTAACGTTGTCACGGAAATTATTTACAGTTTTTCAAAGAATACCATCCAAAAAGAACATGTCTATGGTTTTTGCTTATCAATACCTCAACATGCTATTGATTTTGAGTATATTGCAATGAGCTTGAAAGCAATAACATTTTTGAATAGAGAATGAAGAGACCTTTCAAACGATATATCACAACTCTATACCCCCCATTTTTTAAATGAGGGGTTGTACCTGTCATTCGACGGGGGTTGAAGGTAGAGGTAGCATTTTTCCGTTGAAGTATGTCAAATTATAATTTAAATGCTGTCGCTGATGAGGGGCAAGAATCTCGATCGCGATTTTTTATATGCAAGCGAAACATAAGTGGAACCACCTATTAGTGTGACACCCAAGTCAAACTGACGTTTCGGCTCCGATTTCGGAGCCATTTTCAATAAATTGATGTGACCTGACGCTAGGGCCACAATCTGCCTACTCTCCAGGTCTCGTCATGAGTTCTCCCTGAGGTCTCAATCTGCTTACTCCTCAGATCGAACTGAGGTATCGAGGGGTGTTCGGTGGTATTTATATGGGCGGGTGATACTGAAGTGGAATTGTGGGGGCGGTACTTCAGGTGATTTTGGAATATAGGAATCCCCAGAAAGGTCGGTGAAAAATTGTGTACTACGTTCTAGTGATCACTGACGAAAAGGAAGCGGCTTGTTATGGTAAATCATCAATATGTTTCAACATTGGCATTCATTCGTTAGTGTGTTCTGAAATTTGACCAAATGATAAAATGTAACCTTGTTACGGTTCCCAAAATGTAAGAGTGGATTTATAAGATAACAGAAAAGTAATGTAGTGAAATCATATATTTATGCACAGCTTCCACCCTGTATAACATTCAAAACAATTCAGTTCAGTTTTTTGTGCCTAAAGACAATCAGAATAATTCGACCTTGAATAACGTTGATAGGGAAAAAAAAAAGAAAAGGAAAAAGAAAAGGGTTTTTCTCTGGGAAAGAGAGTTGAGTTTGGTTATCTTCTCTGGAGCAGGAATTTTGAGCTCATCACTGCGTGGATTTGAAGAAACCAAAATATTCCATAAGGGAATAACTATATTTGGGTTATCTAAAGGAATAACTCACCCACAGTATTGGGGATTTGTATTAAGTACCCGTTCTCTTGTCAAATTCCAATCTTCAGGCCACACAACAACTACGGTAAGAACCCACTTCCCGAAAATACCCTAAAGGGTATATCCTTCTAAACCTCAACCTTATTTTAGGCCTTCTTATTACCACCTCAAGTCGATATTGTGAACTATATCCTGGTGTATCTCTCGCAAGGCTAGACCACTACACCCCTTATAACTCTGATTACGGTCTTCCGAGAAGCACGTTATCTGCATGGAAAAGATCATTGCCTGAATGGACTGCGGACAGGGGTTGGATCGTGCTGCTGGAGACTATTCTCCCATATCCCATGCATGTAAGGTCTTTCCTGTTATGTATTACACCCTCCCGCACGACCTCGAATCAACATTACGGCACAAATAGCGAATTCTAGAATAAACCAAGTATTTACCACACCTTAAGTTAAATCATAAGTTGCTTACATTTATATCTGTGAACCCAAAAGTATACTTTTGTGCCATAAGCCTGTAATCACCATAAGCTTGGTGTGTTTGAAGAAACAATACACTTATCCTCCAAGTGGACTTATATTTACCCACCAACCCTCTCCGATGAGTTTCTGAAGCCCATAATTTAGTTCCTAAGTAACAAAGTAACCCGTTTCAATCTACGACAACGGATGTTACAACCTTCGTTACAAAAGTTTCCGTTTGAAATTCGTATTTCAGAAAAACCCTAAGCTTCCAGACTTGTCCACTACAGTTACACATAACTTTCATAACTATTTGTTTTACTCACCTTTATAGTCGGAAACATTCGGACAATTGACCACTCCATTACACACCAATCTAGCAGGAATGCAGAGTACCTGGTCTCCGGGACAGGCAAATTCGCAGCCCTCACCTGAAAGTCCTTCTGAATTTCCCCCTTCTGTTAATCTAGATGACATGAGGGATCCATCTATATTTCTTGGAAGGTGAAACATTTCAGTCCATGCTATTTTGAAAGCTGCTCTAGTTGGGGATGTACTTCCTATGAACTGTATCGTTATACTGGGGTCAACTCCATCTGGACTTAGTTCTGCTGATGAAATTATGGGTAGCTCTTTGGATAGTGATACATTCTCACCGCAGAGGGATAGGTAGGGATCAGCTCTACCTTTTAAAAATATGTCCACTATTCCGTCATCGCAAGATTTCGAAGAGAACTTGATTCTGTCGAAGTGCAGCCAGAAATCTCTGTCTTTGTTTACTTTTATTTCCCATATACACCTAGAAACAGATACTGATAAATATGATTTTTGTATTATGACTTTTCTGAAATATTTCCGAACACATAATAGATAAATTGATGACACACTAAATGAAAAGAACATTGTCCATGTTTGTTTGAAGGTTTGAAGGAGAGAGAGAGCCAAACGTATATTGGAATGCGCCAGCCGAGTACTAATGAGGTTTCAAATTAATTACCACCGTTGGATGAGGTCAACTCTGATGCAGGATGCCATAGAACGTTTTGAAGAAATAAGAAGAGAGACCTTGGAAGAGGATCATGGACCAATCTTTGGCAAGATTGAAAGCACGTGCTTGAAGATCGGACAAGACATGGAGACTAACCACAACAGGAAGTGGAAAAAGTTAGTAAGGAAACAATGTCCAAATGCAGAACGAGAACAGGACAACTATGAAGCCGCCAATGTCATAAACTTGAGTTCCCGCCCGCTCACGGACATAGACAAATCTTTGTTGAAGAAAGGTCTAAACTTCGCCATTGCACCAACATCTGTGCCTACTTTGGAAATAATAACTGCAGTAGAATCCACCAGTTCCATTATTGATCAGATCGAGGCAGAAGAATTCAGATGGAAAATCAGAGAACAGCTAGATCAAGAACCAGTTCCAACTTCTAACATCAGCAATCAAGAACGAAGAGCTCTGAACGGACTACGGAGAGACAACACCATCAAGATCTTACCTGCAGATAAGGAAAGCGCTACTGTTGTGATGGACACTGATCTCTACGAACAGAAGATCGAAGAGGTGCTTCAGAAAGGAGAATATACGAAGATCGTAAGAGACCCTACTGCATCAATTGAAAGGAAGTTGTACCAGACTTTGAAAAAACACCGAGTCTATTTCACGGAAAAAGAGAGATCATTGCTAACACCGCACCATAGTAAGCCCCCTCACCTGTATGGACTACCCAAAATTCACAAAAAGGAAGTCCCGCTCAGACCAGAGATTCAGCCATGCAGAAATTGTCCAGATTTTTACTACCAATAATTAAACCATTGCAAGGTAAAACATCATCTTTTGTGAAAAATGCAAGGCATTTCGTTGAACTACTAGGGGAAATCGAAGTCAAAGAGCAAAATCAACTGATCAGTTTCGACGTGCAAAGCCTCTACACTAACGTTCCGGTCAAAGAAGCACTTCAAATCATACAGAAGAAGCTATCCGAAGATGGGGACCTGAAAGATAGAACAAACTTACTGATACAAGTAATCATGGAATTACTAGGATGCTGTGTACGAAACTGCTACTTTCAACTGAAAGACGAATTCTTTACGCAAGATGAAGGACTGCCAATAGGATCGCCACTTTCACCTGTTATAGCCAATATATATATGAAGTGGTTTGGAACTCTTGTCATTGAACCGAGTCAGGTTGAGGTACGTAGACGACACCTCCCTGACGCTCATCAACAACGTAAGTCCTTCCATCACTTTCACAATGAAGAAGGAAGTCCACAACGAATTGATGTATTGTTGAAGAGGACCGACACTGAATGGGAAACATCTGTATATCGAAAACCCACTCACACAAGACAGTATCTGAACCAGAAATCCAACCACCATCATTCGACTGAGGGAGGAATCATCAAGGCTCTACTCGACCGTGCTTTTGGGCTCTGTAAGGAAGGTCTCGAAAAGGAACTAGGCATTATCAAAAATGACCTACAACGGATTGGTTACTGAAGAGTGATGGTAGAACAGGCCTTAGCTAGAAGACAGCAAAAACTCCACAAGGAAGAGAAGCTGTCACAACCAGTACTTGTACTTCCCTACATCAGAGGATTATCGGAAAGGATAAGACGGATTGGGTCCAATCAGGACCTGCTTCAGATCTGGGAACACTATCCGTAGCAGCCTCACGAAAACCAAGCCACCAAACGTAGACTGCGATTCCAAGAATTGCATTTACCGGATACCCTGTGAGTGCGGAGAATCATACATCGGTGAAACTAAGAGGCCATTGAAAGTTTGCAGTGCTGAGCACAAGAAACAAACACAGTGAGGAGAAACCAGCAAATCCGGAAAAGCAGAGCATGTTTGGACTCATCAACATAACATCAAGTGGGCCCAAGCTGAAATCATCCACAAAGAGGAACACTGGTTTAGGAGAAAATTCAAAGAAGCCGCGTATATTTTGTCCAACAACGCATATAGTCAAGCTAACGTAGAGATACGTAACATATGGAAACCTCTAATCAAGCGAAAAGACGGATTCCCGCCAAACGGTCATCTCCCGTTAAAAACCAATGAAGCGGAAAAAGTGAAGAGGGAATAGGTGAACGCACTCGAGCGACCTATAAATAGTGGGATCTCGGAGGAATAAGTCCAGTTATCACCCGAACACGATTGTGGATACTAACAATCGAAACGTCGTGATATAACTTGGTTTGAAACCTCTTCATTTTTATTTTTATTTTTCATTTTTTGTTAATAATAATTTTTATTTATTTGTTTGCTTGTTGTTTGTATGTTAATTCTTTGTAATTTCAGTTTTTTGTTTAATAAAATTGTTATTTTCGGTTAATCTTATCAATTTTTCAATTGTTTTTTCAGGGTTTTCAAATCAATATATATTATATCAGACAATGGAAGTCCGAACTAATGGAAAAACATTTTCCATAATACCCTGTATGATACTTGTTGGTTGACACTGGAAATCACAGCATTCTGGAAATGAACTCTGACTTTATCCCTCCAACTGTCAACTGCCTTATAAAGTACTGTTCCCGAGTAGAGAGAACTGGATCCTCCGAGAGAAGGAAATATTAAGAGCAGATAGTTGTTGGTTCACAGATGGATCAAAAACACCTTCCAGTTCTGCTGCAGGTGTTTTCAGTCGCAGACCCACGACAGAAATTTCAACCTGCCTAGGAAACTATGCTACTGTATTTCAAGCGGAAATTTACGCCATTGAATTGTAAGCGAAGAGATTGGAAGAATCCAACCTCACACACAAGTCAATAAAAATATTTTCGGACAGTCAAGCGTCATTGGAACCTCTTGGCCACTACCGAGCAACGTCTAAATTGGTAGCAAACTGCCAAAAACGACTCTCCTCGATAGAAAGACTTAACAGATTGTCTCTGGTCTGGATTCCTGGCCATACTGGCCTGGAAGGCAATGAAGCTGCTGCAAGCAGCTGCAAGCAGCTTCATCGGACCAGAACCTGTCATTGATATCGCTTTAGGCTTTGCCAAACAAAGATTGAACACCTGGATGGCAAAAAGATTTATGGACTATTGACAGAATATTTCAGGATTGACTCACTCCAAGGCGTTAAGTGTGAACAGGTGTGAGCCACAATAAACCCTTGCGGGTTGCGATGAAGGGTCGAATAGACCCATTCACTTTGGAATTAACCTAACCTAACCTACTTGTTGCATAATGTCAAATATGGAAAATAATCATTTAATTCATTTAAGCAAATACATGAATTGAAAGATGTCCCAGCCCCAACTTCAATATTCTAAAACAAAAACACTTCAGAATTCCATGTTTTAATATTCCAAGTTCATAGACATCGGAATTGATATGATCACAGGATATAGAAATATAAAACAATCTCCAAATACGCAAACTTTGCACAGATTGCATACCGAGTATTTTACCTTAGTACAGTGGCCGGATCAAAGTTGCAATGTCAGCGTATAAATCATCAAAAATATTGAAGAAGGTGAATATCATAGAGAGACAGTATTGAGAAATTCATTCAGTATCTATTGATCTTCAGAAAAGGTTCCAGCAATGCAGCACATCTCTTTTTCTTCGATCCTGTTGGGTGGCAGTATAATGTAAGTTTTTAGTGATTTATTGTATTTTTGATCAACATTTTAGCGTCTGTTTATTCCTGAAAATACTTCCCCTTTTCGTTACAATGAATATTTGATTGAGTTTTTAAATGAGTTCTTTCATTATTTGGATGCACGATGAATGGGTGAAACTGCGAATTGAATCCTCTCGTTAATAAGCCAGCGAATACTGAGTTGCGACAATATATACGCTGTCTGTTCAAATGATAAGGTAAATTTTTATTTTTATCGATGCACATCTGCGAATGCACATCTTCACCGGCAGCAGGAAGTTGCATATATGTATATCTTATTGAGGATCTAGAAGTGATTTCGAATTAGGGTGAAAGTAACCAAATCAATGCCAAAAAACCCAAGTATCGGTTTTCTCCAAAAAGGTAAATGTCTACAAACCGGATGTAATAATGTCAGGTCAAACAATTCTTTTTACTTCTTCGATATGTTTGTTGGGAGTTAAAATGGAGACCGATTTGTCTTGGTACAGTCAGGTCGCTGGAATTCCAAAGGCTGCTTCTCAAAAGCTTGGAACACTGTTCCGAACCAGAAAACTTTTGATGCTTTATAAAGCTCAGATCAGACCTTCTGCCCCCAAACATACCCTGAAGTTACTGGATTCCATTCAGAAAGGAGCCATCCGTCAGATTGAAGACGCGAACATCACGTGCAGCCATGATAGCCTGGAACATCGAGGAAAGGTTGGATATTTGTCTCTCTTCTATAGATATTTTCACGGGAAGTGTTCAAGTGACTTGGAACATTTGATTCCACCAAGAGCGGTGCAGATCAGAAATACGCGACGGACTGTGGATGTGGAATGTGGAATAAACTTCCTGAAAACGTTTTTCCAAATGGATTTGATCTTCAGCGATTCAAATCCAATGTGAATCGCTACTTTCGCACAGGCACCGCTCTGAGGGTGCCTTGAAGATTTTCCGGTAGTGCTTTGTCCTTAAAAAATTCAGAGAAAATAAAGAAGTACTATTCCATTGCAAAATGTAATTATCAATTGAGAAAAAGTTAAATTACTGGAATTTTCTAGTTTGTATTTTCTTCTATTACAGTTGAATTTGTTTTCAACATGTAATATCTGAAACCAATTTTATATTTGACTGCAATCCATTGTTTTTTTCAAGATATGTTATGTGTTTATTGTAAAATATCTTATTTTTGTTATTTCATAATACTTTGTAGTTAGTTATAATTCCTAATTATAAGTATTCATTGACAATAAACTGTTTCATAAACGGTCAAACTCTCATAACTGCAGTTTAACTTTTTTATGTAGATGTAGAGACAATGAAATGATCCTTAGGAAGTATTAGTGGTTTATATTACGTAGTACCTTTTCGGAGTGATTTTTTCAGTTTGTCTTTCATTACACTTCAGCAGATTCTCTATTGATCAAGCTTTATTTATTTTTCGCTTCTGTTAATTGGGAAATGATAAAAAGAATTGTGGAATATTTGATTTGTTTCATTACCTTATAGATTTCGGAGGTTCAACAAAGCCAATAGCTTCATAATAGGGATAATGGATTTCTCCATCTGTTGTTGGTTGAATTATAGGTGGTCCACATAAAGGCCCATGTACGAACTCATATGTTGCTTCAAATAGAGACGCCGTATGTTTGAAGTAGCTGAGAGCACTGTGAGCACTGTCTACAATGAGTTGAAGATTGAGCTGTTCCCCTTTTGATATGACTTGTGAAGAAAATGATTGTCGATTGCATATACAGGTAACTCCACCGTTTTGTATTGCTTTATTTAGAGAAATTGGCGGATAACTGGAGTTTGCGCCTGCCAGCAAGGGTTCCCATATAACTAGCTTATCAACACGATCTTCCAAACAATTTGTGCAAGGACCTGGACTATAGGGGTGTTCCTGAAAAAAAAAATTGTTAGAATTGTTCAGGATGTTTGTACGAGGGTGGTCTGGAAAGTTTCCGACCTAAAAAAATACGTTTTTTCTTATATAAGGCGCATTCCATTTAAAACGAGCTACCCTGAATAACTTTTGGTATAATGATTTTCAGGAAAAAATAAAAAAAACGTCAACAATAGTTTTCAGGGGGACACATTTTGACATATTCACATTTGATGTTAATTTCCCTATCACACCCCTAGAGTATGCCATCAATTTTTTTTTGAAAGATCACCCTTTATTGTTTCGTATTGTA